CGTACCGTGAGACGGTTGGTATTGCAGATGGTGTAATCGGACCACCGCCATGCCCACAAAACGGGATTAATCAAAACAAATAAATTGCCATAACTAAGCTCCGCAATAAGATACAAGACTGTTATTTAGTACACAGAATCACATAGGGAGGGGCATCTGCAGGAAATTTTGTTTAAAAAGTGAGCGTGGTCCCGCCTCTAATAGGTTTAATGTGCATATCTCCTAAACCGCTAATGCTATAATAACAAAATTCACTGGAAGCAAATGTTTTTAGCACTTCTATTGACGGTGTGAAAATAGTTGAAATCGGTGGCAACTCCGCCCACTCCCCATATAACGGTACTGTTAAAAACTACTAAAAGCGCGATGAATCAAGCACTACATGCCCCAGAGACATTAAATTTATCTCTTAGATGGTATGAGATGACTTTATAGGAACCGCGTTCAAAATTAGACAGTGGGCGTGGCACAGCCCACTTTTAGGTGAAAACCCATATCTTGGGATCTGCTTAACCGATTTCAACCAAATTCGGTGCATAACGTTATTATCATATTTCTATGTTATAGTGCGAAAATGGGCGAAATCGGAATACAACCACGCCTATTTCCAATATAACACCATTTAAATTCCATCTGATTCTTTCACTTACCACTATGCAAATCAGGCAACAATGACTGTATCGGGATAAAACTTTGCGTGAATAATGCGATTAAAGTATGCCACCTTGTGCCAAAAATTGTCTAAATCGAACCAAAACTGTTCAAGGACCTAAGTACTAAATATGGACCCCAGTGCCTATAGTTGACCTTCTACCGAAAATATCAGTCAATCCACAAAGAAATCTCAAACGAGTATACCATTTGACTTTGCGAGAGTATAAATGTTCGGTTACATCCAACTTAGCCCTTCCTTACTTGTTTATATTAGGATGTATCTCAAAAGTTACTATTCAGAGATGATATGAATAAGCTTAAGCAGTATAAGTAAAATTGTCAACCTCAATCCATTTTTAAATTAAAATGGCATTATGACAATTGGATGCAAGTTAACGGCAGCCTCCTCAAAGTAGCTTTACGCTCATTATAAACAAAACTATTTCTTTGCACTCAGCAATAATGCCACTTCTTAATAACCATCTTTGCTATTTAAGTAATCAATACTCTTTCAATAAAGCTAAGACCACAGCTTCTAAAAGCATCTTTGCAAGAAGCAACCAATATCTTTTCATTAAGCTAAGACCACCCATACAATGTAAACAATAAAACTAATTGCTGAATACGCGAATATTGTAAATTGACACTTATTGTAAGACTTAAGCATATAAGAAAATGTATAAATAAGAACAAATTGAAATAAAGAGATTCAGTCTTCCATCAGGACCACTCAACTTAATCGTTTGATTTCTTTCGCGCGTTCGCGCAAAAACTATATTTTTAGTACTTCCATAAAGAAGAAGTTAATTGACGCCCAATGCGTGGGCATATGTTAGCGATATCCTCGGCAAAAAAGGAGAAAAACAAGTATCCTAGCCGAAAGGATAATCATAGGATGTGTGTCGAAACCACAAGAATTAGCAATCAAGTATCCTCTCGGCAGGAGAAAGAAAAAAAACAAAAAAGTACGGCTACGAAAGTGAGACGCGCCCGAAAATCAAAAATACGGCTACAGCACGCCGCGAATAAAGGCCAAAAATCAAAAGTACGGCTACGCGAGTGCACAAATAAAAAACACAAAACCAATTTAAATACCAAAAACAAAAGTTTTAATACTAAAGATTTTAAGGTTTGAAGAAGCGATTGCAAGCAAACAAGTGTAAACGCTGTGAACAAACGAATCTTCAAAAAATGCAACGCTAGTAGTGAAATAATAATAACAGTGTTTAAATGAGCTAAGCCTCAGTACCACCACTCACACATTCAACAAAAGGACGGATCATCGCTCTCACATCATCTTCGTTACGTCTACGGGCCTGAGCGTACACATACCTTCGCTAAATAATTCGTCTGGACACCAGTTCCGTGCGCGCACCGCATCAATATGTATAATATGTCGGTGTGAAATATATGTTAGGAAATGCAGAATAAACTAAAATGATTTACCGAGCCACTTGCGTTTATTATATTGAATCGAGGGGTAGTGTTGGATCACTGGTGTGTGGTCCTACGCAAAGTGGATAGATTATCATGGCGCTCGAGCCTAAACGAAAGGCACTATAATACGTCCAAGACACAAAAAGGTGACAAAAAAAAAAAAGTTTAACACAAACCTACCAAAGATACAGGAAGGAAGTAGTGGAAAACAAAAAGAAGAGAACAATAAACATGTCTACCAAGTTTCATAAAGATATCTCAATTTTTACTCAAGTTACAGCTTGTACGGGCGGACGGACAGACAGTCACCCGGATTTCAACTCGTCTCTTCATCCTGATCATTTATATATATATAACCCTATATCTAACTCGATTAGTTTTAGGTGATACAAACAACCGTTAGGTGAACAAAACTATTATACTCTGTAGCAACAGGTTGCGAGAGTATAAAAATTCAGTGTCCGGGTGTATGTTCCGAATGAACTCAAAAACGAGTCAACTGATATACATGAAAGTTGGCATTTATATATATAATATGTAACTTGGTCCAACTTAAATGATAGGGTAGTTATTATTTAAATAAATGGTCTCAATAATTAATAATAAACTGATCACCAACGTTGATTGTTGTTATACTTGTATTAATGTATAAAAGAGAAAGTTTGTACGTATGTTCCTTATAAACTCCGAAACGGCTGGACCGATTTCAAGAAATTTTTCGGGAGAGCTTCAGGTTGGCCAGCGAGTGATCCTGTAAGGTTTAGTGGCGATCGGAAATTAAAAAAAAAAACTTTATTTTTTAATGTCAATGGCATTTTCTTTTACTGCTGACGTGTTATTGTTTTTATTACACAATTCTGTTGAAATGTGCGTCGTGTATATTTATGCTATTTAATTAAACATATTGGAGTATTATAAAGTATTGTATAATGAATGATATTGAAGTATAAACAATTTGACCTTGTAATTTAACTAAAATTATCGCGAAGAATGAGCAATTACTAACAGATGAACAAAATACTATTTACAATCGGATTTGGCTAATTGCCAGATAATTTCAGCACTATTCTACACGGAAAAAAATACTTAATTGGCAGTACTTTCCCAGACGAACAAAATATAATAATTACCTAAATCAAAACTGGCTGTGTAATCGGGCTATAAGGACAGCAAAAATTCCAAAATTAATTTCGATAATAATATTTTTACTATATTAAACAGCTTACTTCAAAAGAATTTGATAATTTCTTTGCTTTTTCCCAAATCATAATATATATGCTACCACTCTTTGCAATTTCAACCAACTAGAATATCTGCTTACTAAATACTTCATAAATTCCGTTTGACTCTTCGATGTTAAAAATGTTTTTTCTGAGTCCTTTATTTCGATTCTTGGCCAATGATTTTCTAATAGTTGGAACCATTTTGGAACACACCACCAGATGTTTACATTCGATATTTTGATAAATGGAATACCTCCTGATGCAACATCTGCTGGGTTGTCTTTAGAGCTTATATTCTTCCACTTTACTTGGGAAGTAATCTCTTTGATGTCTGCAACTCGATGTCTTATACATTTTTTCTTGTTATTTGAATTTTCACTCAACTTAACGTTATAGTTGAATCACTTCATGCTAAGATTGAATGACTACTGGCAGTGATGGATTTACGCCTAGGCTCGTGAGGCCCGAGCGGCATAATTTATAGGGCGATAAAATGTTCGAAATGGCAGAATTTCAGTTTTAAAAAGTAAAGACAATCAATTTTAAAAATTGGTTCAGATTACTTTTTATACAAAATTTTCTATAGAATATATTATAATTCAATTCATTAATATACTTCTCAAGATGTTCAGGTAAGCTGTTAATTTTTAATTAGATCAATTATAGTCCTTATCGAGTAGTGTTCTTTACTTACTTACTGAAGCGTTTTGAAGTTACTAATTCTGAATAACTTCGCAACTCAACTCATTCAAAAGTGTCAGAAAATTTTTTGTTTATAAAAATAATTTAAATTTTTTGAATCATCGAAATATAATATTTAATTAGTAAAAAATTTAAATTTTTATCAAAAATAAAAAAAAAACCACTCGACCATTTCAAAATTACAGCATTTAGAAACAGCAATCCTTGTCACCGTTTGGAATGTAGTTTTAGATCGTTTCAATTCAGCTAGTAAAAAACTTCAAGAATCTCAAGCTGATTTATCATTGTTCAAAATTATAGTTCGTTGGCTCTATTTCTTCAAGACATGAGACATACAATTTTCTGAATATGAAAAAAAAGCCAAAGCACTATCTGTGGTTCACGAATATTATCGTTATGATACAGGTCGCAAAAAAACAAGAAACATTTAGACAGATGAGTCACGGGTAAATAAAGGAACATATTTTTCTGGACAATAACATTTTCGCACAAATGTGTATTACCCTATTCTAGATAATTGAGTGTCCAATAAGCCGGGCGTAAAAGTGCATATGAAAAACTTTACGAAAATTAAAAATTTTTTTGATGATTTATCTGAGATTGATAGAAAGGAATTGAAAAATCTTGGCATTAAAGTAGTCAATCCTGACGATTTGCGGATACGGAAGATATACGCTCTTCACAAAAAATATGCAATGCAAATGTGGACATTGCTCTCCGTATTTTTTTGAGAATTCCGGCGACAAATTGTTTAGGAGAAAGATCTATTTCGCCAAGATAGACCTAATACTTTGGCATTACTTATGTTGGGTCACCCTAATGACATTTATCTGTGATCCGGATAAAATACTGTCATAGTTCTAATTTGATAGCATTCGTAAATCAACTGCTTATATTCATACACACACACGTACATGCATTGTACTCGTAAATCTCTCTTCTTTTCTAACTATGAAAAGAGAACAATATGTAAGTATATAAATATGAATAACTATTAAAATAAATGATTCGCTAATGAGCATTGTACTCGTAAATCTCTCTTTATTATTTTCTCTAACTATGTAAAGAGAACAATATGTATATAAATATGAATAACTATTAAAATAAATGATTCACTAATCAGCATTGTATAAGCCTACAAGTAACCAAAGAATCAGCTGTTTTACTATGTGTGTGAAACAGCCATCACCGATCACCTGATCGAATCTGCATTTTTTTGACACAGAGATGTAAATAAAAGCAATGTATTGCAGTTTAACAACTTGTTTGTGAACATGTATTTGTAACGGAGAATATGAATGAAAACTTTCAAGAATATTGTCGAAACAAACGATTATTATATATTTATTGCTTTTCCTCACCCCCTCTGAGGTGTTCGGTTCCCCAGGAGGCCTATATTTACCCATATAATGTATACAGTTCTTAAACAATCTACTTTTCATAACAATTATAACTCGAAAAGCTATATACATAAAATCAGGTACATAAATCAGGTTCATGAATATTAATTACATTAACAATTTAACATTAACAATATAAGTTGAAATATTCAACTTGATTTGAACAAAAACCAAAATATATATAAAAAATGAGATACAATAACAATAATCAAAACAATGTACTAAGTAATAAATAATATATACAAAATATTTTAAATCACCATTACACAATAATATATTTGATAAAATTGGAAACATTTAATAATATTTCGATACAATAAATAATAATTTAAATAATACTATGTAAATTTAATCTTTAGGAATTAAAACAACCGAAAAATATTTGAATATGTAATAAAAACATTCTAAAAGTTATAAATTTTAAAACATAACACGGCAACACACTAAACAGATTTGTGTCATTTGGACGTTTTAGTAGCAGAATATTGGCTGGCAACCCGTACCAAGTGTGACTTTAGTAGTAGAATATAAGTAGGCAACCCGTACCAAGTGTGATTTTAATAGTAGAATTTTCGAGACAACCCGTACCAAGTGGGACATTTTTGCGTGTGTATTAGTGAAAATCTTAGGATTGGTTACTTGTAGATTTATAGCTGCCAACAAAAGCACATCGGAGTTCGGCTTTTCCACTCTAGTTCTTTTGCACGTCGCTGTTGACTGAAAAACGCTTCTTGCTCCAACACTATCTATTGACGATATTATCGACGTTTTTGCGCGTACCAAAGCCAGGATAATATTTCAAACTGACTAATAAAAAAAAAATTTATTATTTATCTGTTGAAAGTTTACAAGTATAACTTATTTATCTGTCATGTTTATTAGTTTAATTAATAAAATTATATTTCGATAAATAAAGTTATTTTACAAAAGGGCTACGCATCGAATGGGGCCTAGGGCGGCAGCAAGCCTAAATCCGTCACTGACTAATGGCAATAGTTTTCAATTTGATGAAATCCCTTAAATATTTGCATCTTCCTCATTTGTCCAAAATTTCATCATTGTTTGGAATCGGATACTTGTCGTCGATTGTTACTTCATAAAGCTTACGATAATCAACAAGTCTCAAAACAAGAGACAAGTCTCCATTTAGTTTTCCCACTGGCATCGTCCTTTTTTGCTACGATCCATATGGGAGCAAAGGATGGAGAATTACTGTGCCTTGTTATTTTGTTTTCAAGCATTTTTTGAATTTGTTTCAGAACTTCGTTCTTTAACTGTCTTTACCATATTTGATGTTTTATGACAGAAGTGAATGTGTCTTCTTTATAAAAAATGTTATGGTATTTTTTATTATCTCCATTAATTGAAATTTTTCCTTCGAATTAAGGTGTTGTGATCGAATTTGTTCATTTAAAGGTTTATATTTCTCTTTCGCATATACCTATATTAAAGTTTTCACTATCTACATTTTGTGTGCTTTTGTGAATTGGTTCTAAGTTTTTTGATTAATTTGTTTTACAGTTACAGTCTTATTTGCTTTTAAACAAAATTTTTAATGTTTGTCCTCCTAATTGTAGGGATAAGGAGCAGGTTCGCCTCCACGCAGTGCATACTAGGTAACGCTAAATGACCTGCGGCATACCGTCTGAAGAGCTCGGACATTAACGCAAGAGGTGAGTCACTTTTTGATTTTATATGTGGTGTAGACCTTTCTTTTTGCAATGGGGGAAACTGCCCTACCTTCAACAACGTGCGGCCAGAGACAGTGTTTAAAGGTCACGAAAAGTTTGGGGTGAAATCGAACCTTAAGAACCTCATATTTAGTCTTCTTTGCGACAGAAGTGTTGTAGCAGAGTGGGGTAAAATTCCTAAATACCGTCTACAAACTTACCGAAGGGTACCTAAACATGGTATCCAACAGGATGAATAGAAGCGGCGTAGCCGTCAACCCAAGTAAATCCGAAATGGTTTTATTTACTAGGAGGTATGAGATCCTAAACGTGCCTCTCCCCTCTTTAGGGGTTCACGACTTCAACCTGTGGATAAGGTGAAATACCTAGGGATTATCCTTGATAGAAAACTTTCCTGAAGATCGAACATTGAGGAGAGAGTTACGAAGGCATCGGTCGCTTCATATTGTTGCACGGGGAGCTATAGGGAAAAGGTGGGGACTCTCACGAATGGTGGTTATAGCTCTACGAAACCGTAGTCAAGTCAATATTGTTCTATGTTGTGTTCGCCGCGAGGGCGATCTAAAGAGCTACACTTATTAAAAAGCTTGAGCGGGTCCAAAGAACGGCGCACTACGTACCACACCAACGATAGATCTTAATAATATTTTAAACATAGGACTTGTAGACATTACCGGCAGGAGCATTTCTGCAAAGTGTGCTCTAAGGCACAGGGAAGCTTGGCTTATGAAGAGGTCCGAACAAGGACACGCCGAAATCCCCTCCTCCTTCAGCTGCATTTGGATCACACATTGCTCATATTTGAGCTGTTTCATGGAGGGGTCGAAGCAAGCAGGTGTTGGTTTTCTGTAAGAAGCTTTCCGTCAATCTTAGCTTTAGGCTACCGGACGACTGTAGTGTTTTTCAGGCGGAAGTGGCTGTTATCAGGTGGGCGGAAGACGTATTGCTACGAAGTGCAGCCTCGTTTAGAGAAATGAGCATTCACTCCGACAGCAGAGCGGCAATACTAGCTCTGAGCGCGCAAACCGTTTAAAGGTAGTCAAGGAGTGCCTGTCTATTTAGCTACTTCAACATCAGGCTCGTTTGGGTGGTCACAGCGGAATTCCTGGCAACAGCAAAGCCGATTAGCTAGCCAGGGGGGGCACCCTTGTCCCGCTCACATCGTAATGGGATCAAGTTGAATATCCATTAACATCTTGCGTTCTAGCTCTGGACCAATGGACCTCGCTTGCACTCAGCAGACGCTGGCAGCGACCAACTCTTGTACGAATGCTAGATCCTTTTGGCCAAGAGTGGAGCGGAGGAGGTCTGGGGAACTTCTCGTCTTGAGCAAAGTTCATATACGCCGCTATTGTAGAAGTTCTCACTGGACACTGTCCAATTGGCACTCATGCGGTACGGCTTAAAATAATACCCGATGCTAGCTGTCAAAGCTGTGTGAAGTAGGGTGATGTGGATACATCCAGGCACTTTCTTCTTCACTGTCCGGCTTTTGCAAGGCTGAGGCAGAAATATCTCGGTAATCATACATTCGGCGTACCAGAAGACTTAACCGAAACGGATATTAGCCGTATCAACAAATATATTATAGGCTCAAAGCGTTTTGTCGACATGTAAGGGTCTTTTGATCCTGTCCAAGTACGATCCTTCTTAGCATCGACCTCCTGACCTAACCTAACCTGACCTAACCTCCTTATTAAAAATGTTAAAATTTTGTTGTTCGAAATTTTGTCTATTTCGTGAATTCTGTAGTATGTTAAACATTTATTTAAAATTTTGATTGCGGCGGTATTGGTTAAAATTTCGTTGTTAGAAAATTTGCCAAAAGTTTTGTTTATTTCGTAAATTTTCTTCCAAAGGTTTTTGCTCATATCTGTTTCGCATAAAAAATTGTTGATTGTCCACTCGAAAATCCTGCTTCGAAGAGGATATTCATTGCTATTTCTTACGAGTCTGGGTTTCTACAAGCTGAAATTGTTTTCATAGGTTCGGGGATTTTGACTTTAAAGATCTTGAAAGCTGCGGGGGAATTGTTTTGAGCAATAGCGTTTGGTGTTCCAAATTCCTGTAAGCGGACGAATAAAGTTTTATTGTTAAGGCGCTTAAATGTAGTTGCTCTTAGTGAAACAAAAAGTTCGTCAACGCTTAATCGGTCACCGAAATTATTTTAGAGTACCGTTCCAATAACTTACCTGACAATTTATTTCAATAAAACTCAACATTGTCGCCATTAAAAGTGGAGATTTCCCTAATATTTAAGGGGTTCAAAATTTATTTATTCTTAAATAATATTTTAAATTGCCTTTTTGTTTTTCGCATTCATTTTTTTAATATAATTTGCTAGTTCTCTATTATCTCTGCATATCTTTTGACACAAAAAGATTCCTATAATGCTTTCCGCCGTTGTGGCAATCTTCTGCCCACAATTTCGCGAGAAAAAAAAAGAAAAATACCGTTTAAATGCAAATCAGCTGTCTGTATGTTCTGAATGAAAAGACAATGGAATTTTTTATAATTTTCTGCAGATGCTCTTTCCTAATGTGATCCAGTATACCAAATAAGAGTCTTGTATCTTGTTGTGGAGCTTAGTTATGGCAATTTATTTGTTGTTGATTAATGGCGTTTTGTGGGCGTGACAGTGGCCAACCGTCTTAAGGTACCAAGAAACATGTGTACCAAGTTTCATAAAGATAGCTCAATTTTTACTCAAGTTACAGCTTTCACAGACGGACGGGCAGACAGTCACCCGGATTTCAACTTGTTTCTTCATCCTGATCATTTATATTATATATAATATTATATATATAACCCTATATCTAACTCGATTAGTTTTAGGTGATACAAACAACCGTTAGGTGAACAAAACTATTATACTCTGTAGCAACAAGTTGCGAGAGTATAAAAGTGGTTGAATAAAAATCTACGACATTACACAAAATTTTGTGAACTTACCTTTGTATTTTACAAACGCAAATACGTATTTTTATTTACCTTTTTGTGACTTTTCTTTTGGCACTAATGACATATATTTTAGGTAAAGTAAAAAGTTCGTTCGGTTTTTTATTGATTTTTCAAAAGATGATAACTTTGTGTGCATTTGTCCGATTTAAGTCAAATATGTGCCGTTTTGTTCATAAACTTGTTGCCAACGAGATGCCAACTTCATTATACGCCTTTCGTAGAAGGCTGCGTCCCTATTGGCAAAAAACTCGGAGAGCTAATTTTCACAGGCCTCTCTTGAGGCCAACTTCTCACCATTAAGCGCGTTCGCCATGGACAGGAAAATATCGTAATCACTTGGTGCCAGGTCCGGACTATAAGATGGGTGCATTAGGACCTCCCATCCAAGCTCCCGGAGCTTCTGGCGCATCACCAAAAACGTGTGTGGCCTGGCATTGTTCTGATGGAACACAATGCGGCCGCTGTTGATCATAGATGGCATCTTCTGGATGAGTGCTGCCTTCAAGCGGTCTAGTTGTTGGCAGTAGAGGGCTCAATTGAGCGTTTGGCCGTAGGGTAGCAGCTCGTAGTAAATGTTTTTTTTGCGAATCCCCCCAAACACGCAGCAAAACCGTCCTGGCCGTCAATCCGGTCTTGGCCGCTTCCCCGAGCTTTGACCACAACCGTTTGCGCTCGATATTGTCGTAAGTGACCCATTTTTCATCGCCAGTCACAATCCGCTTCAGAAACGGGTCGATTTTGTTGCGATACAGCAGCGATTCGCAGATGGAAATTCGGTCCATCATGTTTTTTGCGTTAGTTCGCGTGGCACCCAAACATCGAGCTTCCTTTTGAATCCAAGGTTATGCAAATGGTTCCGAACGGTTTTCTGGCTTATCTTTATTTCCTCAGCAATTAAATAAGTGCTCACGTGACGGTCTGTTTCCACTATTTCCATAATTTTATCGCAATTTTCGACGACAGGCCTCCCGACGCGTGGTGAATCTTTGACAACGTAATTACCGGAACGGAACCTATCAAATCACTTTTGTGCTAAACGTTCGTTCACAGTATCGGGCCCATAAACTAAATTAATTTTTTCAGTCGCTTTGGTTGCTTTTTCGCCTTGATCGAAGAAAAATTGTAAAATATAGCGAATTTTCTCTTTGCTGGTGTCCATCTTTGACGAGCGCTCACAACGTACTGAATCAAATGATAAAAACCGAACGAACTTTTTACTTTACCTAATATTTTCTTGTTCCCTCTTATTCAATAAGATCAGAAAATGATGTGGCAAGTTCTGTTTGTTTCGAAAATTCAAAATTGGTTAAACAAGAAATATTCCATAAGTGTGCGTTGGTGTTTCTCTTTTTTCAATAAAAATAAGAAAATGAATGAACGCTTAGTATTCGAATAGTCCACAATGAATGGCTAACCGGATAGTCTAAAATAAGCGGTTAATCGAATAGTCGACGACTTTTAACCACCGGATACTGCAAACCGAATATTATTATTCGAATAATGCCCTATCCGGTTAGTTGGTTAGTCGAATACCAAGAGCTCTAACGTAAATGCATACAAGTTTATGTATGTATGTATGTTTTGCACTGTCCCGGCATTGGAAAAAATAAGCATGTTCTATGATATTTGAACATATTGCCCAAGGAAAATATTGTGACGAACACGGATGATAGAACAAAATCGAATCGACGATAAATTGCCAGAAGCAACTAGACAGCGAATTCGTAGTTGCCAGAATATTCTAGTAGTAAAGTAGTTAGCGAATTCGTAGTGGCCAGAATGTTCTAGAAGCAATGTTTTGTTACAGATTTACTATATAAGGGCTGCCGGATTGTGCAGCAAACACAGTTCTAGTTAGAGTGTTGTCGTGATAAGAGCAATCAAGCTATAAGCAAGAAGTTGTATGCTCGAATAACGAGCAATAAGTGTTAAGTCGTTGGAATTAGAAATAAAGATAAGTGTGTAGCCATTAAATTGGGACTTTTATTTAACAATCCAGTGATCGAACTCAAGAGTGAGTT